GCTGTGGCCTTGTATTATCGTTTGAAGTCAGGTAGTGTGATGCCTCCAGCTTTGTGCTTTTTGAGTAATGTTGTGTTAACTATACAGGCTTTTTTTGGTTCCATATGAAATTAATTTTTTTTTCTAATTCTGTGAAGAAAGTCAGTGGTAGCTTGATGGGGATAGCGCTAAATCTATAAATTATTTTGGGTAGTTTGGCCATTTTCATGATACTGATTCTTGCTACCCAGGGGCATGGAATGTTTCTCCATTTGTTTGCATCATTTTTTATTTCCTTGAGCAGTGGTGTATAGTTTTCCTTGAAGAGTCCTTCACATGCCTTTTAAGTTGTATTCCTAAGTATTTTACTCTCTTTTTAGCAATTGTGAATGGAAGTTCACCCATGATTTGGCTGTCTGTTACTTGTGTGTAGGAATGCTGGTGATTTTTGCACATTGATTTTGTATCCTGAGACTTTGCTGAAGTTTCTTACCAGCTTAAGGAGATTTTGGGCTGAGACAATGGAGTTTTCTAAATATACAATCATGTCATCTGCAAACAGAGACTATTTGACTTCCTCTCTTCCTATATGAATACCCTTTTTTCTTTCTCTTGCCTGATTTTCCTGGCCAGAACTTGCAATATTATGTTGAATAACAGAGAGAGTAGTGAGAGAGGGCATCCTTGTTATGTGCCAGTTTTCAAAGGGAATGCTTCCAGTTTCTTCCCATTCAGTATGATATTGGCTGTGGGTTTATCACAAATAGCTCTTACTGTTTTTAGATACGTTCCATCAATACCTAGTTTACTGAGAGTTTTTAGCATGAAGCGCTGTTGAATTTTGTCAAAGGCCTTTTCTGCATCTATTGAGATAATCATGTAATTTTTGTCATTCATTCTGTTTATGTGATGGAAGATGTTTATTGATTTGCTTTTGTTGAACCAGCCTTGCATCCCAAGGATGAAGCTGATTTGGTCATGGTGGATAAACTTTCTGATGTGCTGCTGGATTTGGTTGGCCAGTATTTTATTGAGGATTTTCACATCGATGTTCATCCCGGATATTGGCCTGAAATTTTCTATATATATATATATATATACACATATACACACATATATATATATATATATATATATATATATATATATATATATAAAATGATCTTTTATGGTCATGTGAAGAACATGCAGGATTGTTGCATAGGTACATACATGGCAATGTGGTTTGCTGCCTTCCTCCCCATCACCTATATCTGGCATTTCTCCCCATGCTATCTCTCCCCACCTCCCCACCCCCCGCTCTCCCTCCCCTAGTTCCACACCACAGACCTCAGTGTGTGATGTTCCCCTCCCTGTGTCCTTGTGTTCTCATTGTTCAACACCCACCTATGAGTGAGAATATGCAGTGTTTGATTTTCGATTTTCTGTTCTTGTGTCAGTTTGCTGAGAATGATGTTTTCCAGGTTCATCCTTGTCCCTACAAAGGACACAAAATCATCATTTTTTATGGCTGCATAATATTCCATGGTGTATATGTGACACATTTTCCCTGTCCAGTCTATCATCAATGGGCATTTGGGTTGGTTCCAAATCTTTGCTATTGTAAACAGTGCTTGTGTGTGTGTGTCTCTGCTGGGTTTTGGTATCAGGATGATGCTTGCCTCGTAAAATGAGTTAGGGAGGAGTCCCTCTTTTTCTATTGTTTGGAATAGTTTCAGAAGAAATGGTACCAACTCCTCTTTGTACCTCTGGTGGAATTTGGCTGTGAATCTGTCTGGTCCTGGACTTTTTTTGGTTGGTAGCCTATTACTTACTGCCTCAATTTCAGAACTTGTTCTTGGTCTGTTTAAGGATTTGACTTCTTCCTTGTTTAGTCTTGGGATGGTGTATGTGTCTTGGAATTTATACATTTCTTCTAGATTTTCTCATTTATTTACGTTGAGGTGTTTATAATATTGTCTGATGGTAGTTTGTATTTCTTTTGGCTCAGTGGTGTTGGTGATATCCCCTTCATCATTTTTGTGTGTGTGTCTTTTTAATTCTGCTCTCTTTTCTTCTCTATTAGTCTGGCTAGCAGTCTATTTCTTTTGTTGATCTTTTCAAAAAACCAGGTCCTGGATGCATTAATTCCTTTGGAAGGGTCCTTTGTGTCTCTGTCTCCTTCAGTTCTGCTCTGATCTTAGTTATTTATTGTCTTCTGCTAGCTTTTGAATTTGTTTGCTCTTGCTTCTCTAGTTCTTTTAATTGTAATGTTAGGGTGTCGATTTTAGATTTTTTTCTGCTTCCTCTTGTGAGCACTTAGTGCTATAAGTTTCCCTCTGAATACTGCTTTGGCTGTGTCCCAGAGATTCTGGTATGTTACGTCTTTATACTCATTAGTTTCAAAGAACTTATTTATTTTTGCCTTCATGTAGTCATTAAGGAGAAGGTTGTTTAGTTTCCATGCAGTTGTGTGGTTTTGAGTGAGTTTGTTGATTCTGAGTTCTAATTTGATTGCACTGCAGTTCTGAGAGACTTTGTATGATTTCTATTCTTTTCCATTTGCTAAGGAGTGATTTCCAATTATGCTGTTAATTTTAGAATCAATGCTATGTGGTGCCAAGAAGAATGTATATTCTGTTGATTTGGGTTGTAAAGTCTCATAGATGTTTATTAGGTCTGCTTGGTTCAGAGCCGAGTTTAAGTCCTGATATACTTATTAATTTTTGGTCTCATTAATCTGTCTAATATTGACCACAGGGCGTTAGTCTCCCACTATTATTGTGTGGGGGTCTAAGTCTCTTTCTAGGTCTCTAAGAACTTGCTTTATAAATCTGAGTGCTCTTGTATTAGGTGCATATATATTTAGGATAGTTAGCTCTTCTTGTTGCATTGATCATTTTACCATTATGTCATACCTTTCTTTTTCTCTTTTGATCATTTGATTTAAAGTCTGTTTTATCAGAGGCTAGGATTGCACCCCATGCTTTTCTTTTTCTTTTCTTTTCTTTTTTTTGGCTTTCCATTTGCTTCATCAGTATTCCTCCATCCATTTATTTTGAGCCTTTGTGTGTCTTTGCATGTGAGATGGGTTTCCCAAATACAGCACACTGATGGATCCTAACTGTTTATCTAATTTGCCATTCTGTGGCTTTCAACTGGGGCATTTAGCCAGTTTGCATTTAAGGTTATTATTGTTATGTGTGATTTTGTTTTTGTGATTATGATGCTAGCTGGTTATTTCACCCATTACTTGATGCAGTTTCTTCATAGCATTGATGGTCTTCATGATTTGGTATGTTTCTGCAGTGGTTGGTACCCAGCCATTCCTTTCCATGTTCAGTGCTTCCTTCAGGAGTTCTTGTAAGGCAGGCCTGGCAGTGACAAAAATCTCTCAGCATTTGCTTGTCTGTAAAGGATTTTATTTCTCCTTTGCTTATGAAGCGTAGTTTGGCCGGATATGACATTCTGGGTTGAAAATTCATTTCTTTAAGAATGTTGAATATTGGCCTCCACTCTCTTCTGCCTTGTACGGTTTCTGCCAAGAGATCCACTGTTAGTCTGATGGGCTTCCCTTTGTGAGTAAACAGACCTTTCTCTCTGCCCGCCCTTAACATTTTTTCTTCATTTCTACCTTGGTGAATGTGATGATTATGTGTCTTGTGGTTGCTTTTCTCCAGGAGTATCTTTGTGGAGTTCTCTGTTTTTACCAGATTTAAATGTTGGCCTGCCTTGCTAGGTTGGAGACGTTCTCCTGGTTAATATCCAGGAGAAACTTGGTTCCATTCCCTCCATCAGTTTCAGGTACACCAATCAAACATAGGTTTGGTCTTTTCATATAGTCCCATATTTCTTGGAGGCTTTGCTCATTTCTTTTCATTTTTTTTTTCTCTAATCTTGTCTTCACACTTTATTTCATTAAGTTGATCTTCAATCACTGATATTCTTTCTTCCACTTGATTGATTTGGCTATTGATATTTGTGTATGCTTCACGTAGTTGTTGTGTTGTGTTTTTTAACTCCATCAGGTCCTTTATATTCTTCTCTAAATTGGTTATTCTAGTTAGCAATTCATCTAGCATTTCTTCAAGGTTCTTAACTTCCATGCATTGGGTTAGAACATGCTCTTTTAGCCCAGAGGAGTTTGTTGTTACCCACCTTCTGAAGCCTACTTGTGTCAATCCATCAGTCATTCTCCGTCCAGTTTTGTTCCCTCGCTGGTGAGGTGTTGTGTTCCTTTGCAAGAGAAGAGGCATTCTGGGATTTGGATTTTACGGCCTTCTTGCATTGGTTTTTCCCCATCTTCATGGATTTATGTACCTTTGGTCTTTGATGTTGGTGAGCTTCAGATGGAGTTGCTGTGTTCACATTCTTTTAGTTGATGTTGATGTTATTCCATTCTGTTTGTTAGTTTTCCTTCTAACTGTCAGGCCCCTCTGCTGCAGGTCCGCTGGGGTTTGCTGGTGGTTCACTCCAGACCCTGCTGGCCAGTATCATCAGTAGAGGCTACAGAACAGCAAAGATTGCTGCCCGTTCCTTCCACTGGAAGCTTCTTCCCAGAGGGATGCCTGCTAGATGCCAGCTGGAGCTCTCTTGTATGAGGTGTCTGTCAGCCCTGCTGGGAGGTGTCTTTCAGTCAGGAGGTATGGGGGTCAGAGACCCACTTGAGGAAGCAATCTGTCCCTTAGCAGAGCTTGAGCACTGTGCTGGGAGATCTGCTGCTCTAAGCAGAGCCAGCATGCCAGAACATGACATCTGTTGAAGCTGGGCCCACAGCTGCCTTTTCCCCAAGGTGCTCTGTCCCAGGCAGATAGGAGTGTGATCTATAAGCCCCTGACTAAGGCTGCTGTCTTTCTTTTAGAGATGCCCTGCCCAGAGAGAAGAAATCTAGAGAGGCAGTCTGGATACAGTGGCTTTGCTGAGCTGTGGTGGGCTCCCCCCATTTCAAACCTCTGAGCAGCTTTGTGTACACTGTGAGGGGAAACCTGCCTACTCAAGCCTTAGTAATGGTGGACATCCCTCCCCACACTGAAGCATCTCAGGTGGACTTCAGACTGCTGTGCTGGCAGCGAGAATTTCAAGCAAGTGGATCTTAGTTTCCTGGGCTCCGTGGGCATAGCATTCACTGAACTAGACCACTTGGCTTCCCGGCTTCAATTCTCTTTTCAGGGGAGTGAACGGTTTTGTCTCGCTGACGTTCCAGGTGCCACTGGGGTACGGGAAAAACAAACAAACAAACAAAAACTCCTGCAGCTAGCTTGTTGTCTGCCTACATGGTTGCCTGGTTTTATGCCTGAAACCCAGGGCCCTCATAGCATAGGCACCAAAGAAAGTCTTCTGGTCTGTGGGTGGTGAAGACCATGGGAAGAGCATAGTATCGGGGCCAGAATGCACCGTTCCTTGTGGCCCAGTCTCTCCTGGCTCCCCTTGGCTAGAAGAGGGAGTTCCCTGACCCTTGGCACTTCCTGGGTTGAGGTGATGCCCCACCGTGTTTCTGTTCACCCTCCGTGGGATGCATCCGCTATGTAACCAGTCCCAGTGAGACGAGCCAGGTACCTCAGTTGGAAATGTATAAATCACCCACCTTCTGAGCTGGTTTTGCTGGGAGCTGCAGACTGGAGCTGTTTTTATTTGGCCATCTTGCCTGGAAGTCTAATGTTTTATTTTAAACAGTGGTTTTACTATTAATATTTACTATTGAGATTGAACATTAGATATAGATAGATGAATGTTCATTTTTTTAATGTCGGCTCCTTCTGTATTTTGAAAGTGCTGAAGCTGTGAATGCTTTGGGAATATATAGAGTGATTTACACAGGCTTCTAGAAGGTTCTAGATTTTTGTTCAGAAAACAGGGTAAAATGACTGAATATTTTTCCAGGGAGTATCTGCTCAGCCTCTGTCCATAAAGTGGGTTTGAAAGCAGCCACTAATACAAGCAAAAAGCCAAGTACTTTATCATAAAGTCCTTCAAATCTAGGCCAGGCCAGGTAAAATTCCCTGGAACCAAGTTTCAGGGCGAGCCCTGGCTCAGCAAACCAGGCAAAGAATTCTGAACATTTCCCAACACGGCCAAGAAAGTCTTCGAACTTTCTCGGTAGGTTCTGAAGCAGCAGAACAATTAACACCATCAAAAGGCGGGCAAAACCAGCTGACCCAAAGTTTGTTTCTTTCTGCTTTCTGCATTCAGCCTTTTTATATTTCGCTGACACAACACTCCTGTCCTCTTCTGTCTTGGTTCCAGACGGGAAAGAGCATTCCATACGCAGAAACTTTAACAGCATCCCTTGGTAGGATTAGCACTGCTGCATGCCAGACAGGCACATCATCTGGGGAAAATGCACTGAGCAGCATATCCACCTAGGTGAAACGCACCTGCTCTTCTCAAAGAAAACCGGCAGCAGAGATGAAAGGCAGCCATGTAGACGGCCCCAAAAAAGTGTCTTGCCAGTACCTACCCAGAGCCTTAAATATTTTCCCGTTGTTCGATGCCAGCTTTCTCCTTGGAACCGATATTAAGAAAATAAATAGTTCCCCCAAATGTTACATAAATATATTTACTAAAGCACAATGTATATTAATGAGATGTGATGGTGGGAAGGGGTAGAAACCTTAACTCTACAAGAGTAATAAAATGATTAGGTAACTACTGTATATTTGTCTGTTCATTAGATACGGGATCATAAAGGCATTAAATTATGTTAAAATTACTTAGTTTGAAATATATAAAAGTATATATGGGATATAATCACAACTATATAAAATGAAAACTGCAAGATAAACACACCTTTTTTAATGCATAAAATAATACCAGAGTATTTATACTGGTTGGTTGTTTTAAGTGTTGGGACTATGGGCACATGTGTTTTTCTGATCCTGCCCTCCAAACTTCAATGCTGGCCATACATTTTAACATTTTTCTTTTTTGAGACGGAGTCTCACTCTGTCACCCAGGCTGGAGTGCAGTGGTGCAGTGTTGGCTCACTGCAGCTTCTGCCTCCCGGGTTCAAGTGATTCTCCTGCCTCAGCCTCCCGAGTAGCTGGAATTATGGATGCATACCACCACACAAGGCCGTATGCTGTATTTTTAGTAGAGAATAAAATACTAAAATTACTGTATTTTTAGTAGAGAAGGGGTTTCAGCCTGTTGACCAGGCTGGTCTTGAACTCCTGACCTCAGGTGCTCCTCCCACCTCAGCCTCCCAAAGCATTTTAACTTTTTAATAAAAACAGCAATGCATTTTGTTTAAAAGAAAATTACTTAGTAATTATTTCCAAGATCAACTCACATGATGATAGAACTTTTTATATGAGCCAGTATCACAAATCATATTGAATGGATAGAAAGATAAAGCCATGGTCAGGTAAATGAACAATGGAATCCGCATTTGTTCAGCTTAGAGAAGCCTAAGCACGTTCTATATTGAAAATAAAGCAAGGAAGGAATGACGTCGAAGGGACATTTCACACAACTAGTTGGTTGTTTTGAGTGGGTGGGGCTATGGGCACATGTATTCTTCTGATCCTGCCCCCCTCAATCTTAAATGCACAGATGCAGAGTGACAGTAGGGAACGGGGTCCGAGATAAATGGCCCTGGGGAGATACAGCAGTGGGACAGTCACACAGGAAGTGATGACCTCACAATTCAGATGGTTTTCTCATTGGTGAAAAGGGGACAGTGACATTGACTTCAAAAGCTGTGAGTCTTAAATGTACAAAGACAGAATTTGAGGTAGGCGTTTGGTCAGCACTCGGGAAATGGTGATTTATGAAAGTGGATTGTCCCTCGGGGAATGCCCAGCATCAAATGAGACATTGTCACAATTCCAATGTAAAAGGACAAGTTTCTTTTCTTTTCTTTTTTTTTTTTGAGACGGAGTTTCACTCTTGTTACCCAGGCTGGAGTGCAATGGCACGATCTCGGCTCACCGCAACCTCCACCTCCCAGGTACAGGCAATTCTCCTGCCTCAACCTCCTGAGTAGCTGGGATTACAGGCACGCGCCACCATGCCCAGCTAATGTTTTGTATTTTTAGTAGAGATGGGGTTTCACCACGTTGACCAGGATGGTCTCGATCTCTTGACCTCGTGATCCACCCGCCTCGGCCTCCCAAAGTGCTGGGATTACAGGCTTGAGCCACCGTGCCCGGCTAAAAGGACAAGTTTCTAGTGAACATCAAAGAAAATCAGGAAAGGTAGAGGAAGACACAGAGCCATCCACATCTGAATGAGCAATAGAGAGCCTCTATTTGCATACCCCTGTTTGGAAAATTAAAAGGAGCTTATATTCTCTCATACCTAAGATGCATCAGGGCATGGCCTTGTAAACAGATCAGCTTAGCAGCAAGAGAATCTTTCTGAGTGGTGTCGCACATTTTTATGGAAACACACTGTGTATCAGCTGAGAGGAAGTAACCAGCTAAGGAATCCTAGCTAGTGGAGTAAATACATTAGCCAGTATCAACCGAGGAGGCTTGGGGTGTAAATTTGGGGCATTGCACTCCATTCAGGTGGCGACTGTGTAGTGCTACAGTTGGGGATTGAAAAGGAAAAAAGGTAGGCTATTCACTGGTGGAATAATCCAGTAACGATGCAGTAGCGTGGCTGGACTTTTTCTACCCTAACAGAATGCAGAGTCACTCTGAATTTCAACTCTAATTAAAATTGTGAACTCAGTCCTATGGGAAAATGAAAGACAGATGCTTATACTTTAAATAAGGAGGCTGGCTGCTAGGGAATACTCTATATAAATAGTTATAGGTTGGGACAAAGTGAAATTCAGTTTAAAATGTTTTCATTGGGAACATCCAGTGCTGATAAGGTTGTAAACAAACAGTAACATGCTGGTTCTGCCGGTATAACGCTTCCAGATCGCACTGTGGCTCTATGTGGCAAAGGCCAAATGGGAGCTCTTGGATCTAGGAGCTCCAGTACTATAAATGTATGCCGAGGAGGTCAGTTAGTAGAAGGAAAAAGCTGTATGCATAAAGATGCTAATTGAGCAGCCTGGTGCGGCAGCTCACGCCTGTAATCCCAGCACTTTGGGAGGCGGAGGCGGGCAGATCACAAGGTCAGGAGATCGAGACCATCCTTGCTAACACAGTGAAACCTCGTCTCTACTAAAAATATTAAAAAGTTAGCCAGACATGGTGGCATGCTCTTGTAGTCCCAGCTACTCAGGAGGCTGAGGCAGGAGACTCGCTTGAAACCAGGAGGCGGAGGTCGCAGTGAGCCGAGATGATGCCATCGTACTCCAGCCTGGGTGACAGAGCGAGACTCCATCTCAAAAAAAAAGAATTGCTGATTGCACCAGTAGACTTAACAGTAGAAACGGGAAATAACCTAAATGTCCCATGGTAGGGGAACGGGTTTCCAACGAATGGGCCATCACCTATGTGATGTATGAGGCAGCCATTAAAACAATGGAAAACTTTGAGAAGTGAGATGGCTTTACTGGGCAAAGGGAAGGAGGGGACATAAAATCAAATACCGTGAAGCCTTGAAAGGCAGTAAGATAAAAATGCTTTTATTAAAATAGTGGTATAATGAGGCTTTTTCTTTCTAAAAAATTACCTTGTTGTTACATCATTTTATCTATAGATATAATTCAGAGCTGTCTTTTCAATGATTATATGAATAATCATTGATGATATTAGGTAATATTCTAAAATGACTTGAGCTAAACTAGCTTGGATGTCTTGAAAGATACAAAGAGTTAATAGACAGGGTAAGTATTGCTATTTTAGATTTTTTTTTTTTTTTTACGTAAGCTTCTAAAAATGGTGCCTGCTGGTGACCAGAATGGGCAGTGATATTGCAAGCCACGTCTTTCTGGCCCAGTATTGACCTTGATGAAAGTCATCAGGGCTCCTTCATTGAAGTTCAAAACAAAACCACTCATAACCCCATTTTAAAAAGCAAAACCACAAGCCACAGGCTTCAGTCACTGCTGGGGGATGCTTCCATTTCTTGTTTCCTATTGATAAGTGGCAGCAACGTCTCTCTTAATCAGGCGTGAAAGTGGAAACTGGCCGCCTTTGGGGTTGAAAGAAACTTAGGGAGAGAGAGGGACTAGGAAGAAAACGACTGCAGAGAAGCTGGCCCACTCTTCCTGTTTGGGTGGATTCTGCAGCATCGGATGAGGGTGGGGAACTCTGGACCTTGAGTCCATGAGAAGGTTCAGACGTACTTAAAATCAGAACAGGAGAGAGGGGCTGTTGGGAAATGCAGGCAAGGTT